CTGGGCTGGATTCGAACCCACCACCTTAGGTGTATGTGGCTGGCGCCTTAGCCACTTGAGCCTCAGGCGCCAAGCCAACATTTTTTTTTTTAAGTTTTATAACGTCACTGCTCCATTTTCTGCTTCTTTTTGCAGCAAAACTTGTGAAATAGTGGACCATACCGGCTATCTCTAATTCTTTTTTTTTGTTGGTTTTTGTTTTTAGAGACAGAGTGTCACTTTGTTACCCTCGGTAGAGTGCTGTGGCATCACAGCTCACAGCAACCTCCAGCTCTTGGGCTTAGGCAATTCTCTTGCCTCAGCCTCTCTAGTAGCTGGGCCTACAGGCACCTGCCACAATGCCCAGCTATTTATTTGTTGCCGTTTGCCTAGGGCTGGGTTTGAACCGGCACCCTTGGTATATGGGGCCGGTGCCCTATTCACTGAGCCACAGGCACTGCTCTCTAATTCTTATTCTTTAATTCTACAGCACTGCTGTTGCTCAAGACCAGCCTTGGTGGTTCAAGACCAGCCTAAGCTAGAGTGAGACTCCATCTTTAAAAAATAGCTGAGTGTTGTGGCAGGCTTCTGTAATCCCAGCCTCTTGAGAGACTGAGGCAAGCGGATGGCTTATGTCCAAGAGTTTGAGGTTACAGTGAGCTATGATGCCATGGCACTCAACTCCAGAGCAACTGAATAAGACTGTGTCAAAACACAAATTTTAAGGGGCTGTGTCCGGTGGCTCATGCTGATAAATCCTAACATTCTTGAAAGTATATGTAGTGAGAATAAGATTGAATCATTCAGGCTAGGGTTGAGACAACATAGCTGGTCTGGTTGGTTTAGGTTTTATTTGTCCTCTACCTCTTGTCTCCCATTTTTGGTGTTTTATAAATTCAGCTTTAACCTAAAAGGATATATCTTAAGTAGCTTAGGCCAATTAAAGTGATTAACTTTTAATTTTAATTTTTATTTATTTATTTACTTATTTTTAGAGACAGTCTCACTTTGTTGGCCTCAGTAGAGTGCTGTGGCATCACAGCTCACAGCAACCTCTAGCACTTGGGCTTAGGCAATTCTCTTGCCTCAGCCTCCTGAGTAGCTAGGACCACAGGTGCCCACCACAACGCCTGGCTATTTTTTGTTGCAGTTTGGCCGGGGCCGGGTTGGAATCTGCCACCCTCGGGATATGAGGCCGGCGCCCTACTCACTGAGCCACAGGCACCGCCCTTAATTTTTATTTATTTATTTTTTATTAAGACAGAGTCTCACTTTGTCACCCTCAGTATAGATCTGTGGCATCATAGCTCATAGCAACCTCAAACTCTCAGCTCAAGTGATTATCTTCCCTCAGCCTCCCAAGTAGCTTGGTCTATAGGTGCCCACCACAATGCCCAACTATTTTTTTTTTTTTAGCAGGCCCAGGCCAGGTTTGAACCACCAGCTCCAGAGCATGTGGCTGGCACCCTGACCATTGAACTATGGATGCCAAGCTATTATGCCAATTATTATTACTTAAAATAAACTTTAACATGGGTTTTTTTTTTTTTTTTGAGACAGAGACTCAAGCTGTCCCCCTGGGTAGAGTGCTGTGGCATCACAGCTCACAGCAAC